TTGGATTAACCTGTTTTGCAGGACAGCGTGCTCTGAAAGATAAAGGCAAGGGAAAAGTCTAATATTTGATATTAGCTTGTTATGTTTATGTATTAAAGATACATTTCGTTAGTTCATGTTTTGTAATAATACTATTTTAGTATTATGAGAATGATGATGTGAATTATATGTATTTGGGATGTGAGGGTTGTTACATCCCTCAAGGCCTTTGGTCCCTCAAGGCCTCTGGTTCCTCATGGCCTCTGGTCCCTCATTGCCTCTGGTCCTTCACATGGCCTCTGGACCTTCATCGCCTCTTGACCCGTTTCAGGACCAATTCATCGCCTCTGGTCTTCTTCCAGACTTAGTCATTTCAGCAGCCTCTGATCCATCGCCTACCTCTGGACCAATTCATCGCCTCTGGTTTTCCTACAGACTTAGTCGTTTCAGCAGTATTTTCAGATTTTCCATCCTTGGCCCCGATTGCTTTGACAAAACTTTTAGAATAATTAGAATCAATTTTGGTCCCAATAATCAATAAATTATATTTTATTGGAGATTTTATAAAATTGGTAATTTAGGGTTTGCTTAAGCGAGATGTTACACACGATTACATGACAAATATTTTAGAATTACTTTTCTCGATATAAAAATACTCCAAATACATTTAAAGATCGTGCGTTTTAGAAAAGTCGTCTGAAGGTTAATTATCATCCGAAACTATCCCTTTTGGCTACAAGTATTTTGAATTATATTGTATTTGGATTGCTTTACCCAACCAAAATCAGTAGAACAATTTGATGAGAAATTATTGCAAGTCTTATATATGAATGAATTTATTCAAAAAGAAATACATTGAATAAAAATGTAGAAAAAGAGAAACAATAATATTCAAATTATATATAAATCATATATATATATATATGATCAATCCATCACATCATAGTTTGGTTCATTGGGGGAGTCGTTGTCGGATACTGCTGCATTTGCTGTTGGTTTCTCGCCATAGTTCCATGCCAACCTAAACCATCAAAACCCAAATCAATTTTATTTTAGTTCTATAATTAATCAAGCTCTAAATTAAAAGGAAAGCTATTTTGATGGTATTATGAAATTATTGAATGAATTTAAAGTTAATTTGATTAAATGAAAAAAAGTAATAAATAACATTCAACAGCAAAATGAGAGTAAAGAGTTGAGAGTAAAGACTTGTTTGGTTGGTTTTCCATTAAGTCTTGTATGGATAAAATTATATGTGTGAATTAATCAGGTTTTTGTTAGGAATGGTTTTTCATAGGTGAAATGAGTGTGTGTTTAATTGAGAGGGGTAGATTTGAATTTTTTGACTTTCTGTATAAAGTTCCCTCCTATCATTAAGTCACTATCAGATAGTATGTGTAGCTAACCGAATAAGTTGTGAGTTCCATTAAGTTCATTAAACTACTAACAAACGGACCCTAAATGTTTTTTACACCTTAAAAAATATTGTATATTTTTATTTTGCAATTGTTTAGAAATCTACAATTTTCTTTTAAACCACTACAAAAATATATATTTTATAAAAAATGGTGTTCATAGGACACTTGTTAAAAATGTCCCTTGAAAAAAAAAACTAATATGACATTTTATTCTAAAAGAATACTAAAAACTTGTTAAAATGCTTAAATGCGTTCTATAAAGCTATTGCAACGTTTTTACATAGGACGCACAATTATTTACTCTTATAAATTTACGTCTTATAAAACATTGTATTAGAACGCTTACACGTTTTGACGTCTTATAAATTAAGAATTTCATTGTACGAATTTGCAATCAATTGTTTTAAGATAATAATAAAATTGAAGTACCTTAATTTAACGAAAATGTTAACTACTGAGTTATTAATTAAATACATTTCTTAATTAATATTTATTAGTAACGAATATGTATTATTAATAATAAATAACAATTAATATTAATCAAATGTATAATTAAAAGAAAAGTGGAAATATTTCTTGAAACTTATAAGAACAGTACTCCAAGTAGCATTTCAATAAACTAACTAATAAACTATATTTTACTCATTCAAATAGAACTTTTAAAATAAGCTCAAAAAATAAACTAATTCATGTTTAGTAAACATGACCAAATTTATGTTTTCAAAGACAAACGAAGGTCATAATTCATTTTTGAAGAAACTATTTTCAACTTCAAATTCATGTCAATAATTTATTTTTTGTCAAAAAAAAAAACAATTACATAAAAAACATGATAAGCATTGTAAGCAAAAAAAGACTAGTTTGCCCATTAAGATTCACATAAAAATGCGATAATTAAGTAACGTACCTATAGCAGGGTCCAAGCCTTGTGCTTTAAGTTCTCGGTATTCTTGACAAAGGGAACACCATTCGCAAAAGCAGTGCATCGCCCAATCTGGGGCCGGAGTCTCTATCAAGCCGAAACGGTTCCTGATCTTGGTGCGGTACCCGCATGACATAATGCAAGGACACCCGATAAACGCCGCGATTAGACCATAAATAAGTCCACTCGTCAAACACGCTACATGAAAACAATGTGAAATCAACCAAATTCTTTAATTGAATATAATTAAGAAAATGGGTATTTTAGGACTCTTATGCATCTTGATAAAGTAATTAACGTGACTCTAATATGACGCTTTTACTTGTTAAGTTGTTAACTTCATTCTAACAACTTAATTTAATACCTTTAGATGGCAACTTCAAGCATAAGGTTTTTGTGCTATACAAGTAAAAGCGCCATTAAATACTTGATTAGTTAGTGCGGTTGCATAAGAATAGAATTGGGTTTATTTTACGCTGAAATTGTTTAAGTGTCATAATGCACTGTCTTGTAGGATGAAAACGTAATTATACTATTTAAAAAGTATTACAATAAGTTCATAACACTATTTTGAGCATGTAAACAAGTTTCTTTTTACGACACTTAACAAAATAAAATATCATATTAACTATATTCTAAAGGATTAGCTACTTGAAAAAAGTGTCCCATAAGCACAAGTGTCTAATACGACAATTAAGTCCTATATCATGATGCGTAAAAGATTTTTAGCATATTATTAACCAATTTCATTGTAGTGTTGAACATACGTGATAAGAACTATGGTGTTTAATTTAGCTTACAGGTTTGGCCATTGTCAACGATCTCTGCAATCTGTCCGAAAGTGATGCACGGGAAACATGCCGTTATGAGAGCTGTAAATGAACAAAGAACAAATATCAATGAAGAGGTGTATAATAAACGAAGTCATGTTTCTTCTTTGGATCTTGTATAAAGTATCAATTTCTGATTTACACTACAATATAATTAGTTTTATAGGACGTCTAAAAATGTTTAAGCGTTATAACTTAAATTTCTAGAACCAAACCAAAAATATCATATCTAAAAGTATTGCTACAAAAGGTTTATACTACGTTTTTAAGTGTTTTAACAAGTTTTTAGGATGTTTTTAGAATAAAGTGTCATAGTAGCTATTTATACGACACCATTTAAAAAACTGTTATATAAAATAACTAATATGACACTTTATTATAAAATAGTCCTAAAGAAAGATATATTGTAATACTTTCGGAAACAAGTTTTATGATTTGGTATGTAAACTTATATTTAATAAAATATTCTATTAGAACATTTTAATAATGACGTTAACAGATGGAGTTGAATTAAGAATTACCATTTTCAGGATCCTCAGCACAGTCGAAGAGACCAGTCCTCCATCCCTGAGTGGGAGCAAGGTATTGAGTTCCGATAGCAATCCCACTTGATGGACCCATTTTCTCCGGCGTCTGATACACAGTCTGCGCTTGGTAGTTCACCGATTGTGGCTGAGCATTATAAGCGTTATTATAGTTGTAATTCTGCTGAGGTGGGAACGCAACAGGCTCCGGCGGTGGAGGTGGGTACGCTGTCGGTTGCTGTTGAGGTGGGTATATTGCTGGTTTTCCAGGCGGGTAACTTTCAGGAGGTGGCATGTTTTCCGCCGATTCAGGTATAAAGGATCTATGTTGATGGATGTTGTTCTGAACATTATCAGCCATAGAAGCTTCTTTTTGTGGTGGAGGTGGTGGTGGTGGTGGTGGTGATGGTGGTGGGTGGTCATAATGGTGGTTTGGATAGCCTTGTGGTGGTGTTTGATCGGAGGATTGAGGAGGTGGGGTGGAGTCGAGACGGCCCATTTTCTGCTCGAATTATCTGCCAAGAAAGAAAGGTTTTGTTTTCTTTGTTGTACCACAAGAAATGCAAGAAGGCATATATACAGATTTATATATGTGAATGGGAATGGGAATGTGAATGTGAGTGTTGTAAGTAGGAAACAAACGCGTAATTGTCGACACTCCCACCATTCTTAAGAGTTGATTAATTGCAAGCTCTTAATTTGTTGGTATATTCCAAGTGGGATTTATATATCCATTTCTTTTTATAAATTTATATTTTGATTTTGAAACCATTATCGACTTATATAACCTATCTTTCACGAGACTGCTGCAATAAAATCGGGTTATAAATTGTTTTATAGAAATTTCAGTTTTAAACAACAAAATATCTTTTTCTAAAGTGTTATAATAAGTTTATATAACGTTTTCCAGTATTTTAACAAATTTTTATTCTATATATACATACATATATATATATATATATATCATATTAGCTATTATATAAGATAATTTTGAAAAATGTCCTGTAAACACATATTTTTATGGTACCTTTGTGTTTATATAACACTCTTTTTCAAGTAGATCTATAAAATAATTAATATAACACTTTATTTATATAAAAAAATCTAAAATCGTCTTATAAGTTTATTTGTAATAATTTTAGAGATTTCAATTTCTTATTTGATTTTTATGAATTTAATCAAGTCATATAAAATATTTAGATATATTTTGACGTTTAAACTTTATGTGGAAAACACTATAGAGAAAAGTCAACCTTGATAACGAAACATCTTGTTTTATGTGAGAAGAAAAGAGATATATATATATATATATATATATATATATGTGTGTATACAGAGAGATTGATCACGTTTAAGTTCCTTTGACTTCGATTGTTGTTATATGTGGTAAGAAAAGTCAACCTTGATAACATAACATTTTCAAAACTAGGTGAATACGGAATAAGTATGAAGTCAAGGAAAGGTTTAAATAAGGAAGCCAGAGAGGTTGACCACAAAAAATAAATAATTTATATATAAATTATCAGTAAATTACAAAGAAAAAAAATCATTCATTTACATATATATATATATATATATATAGAGAGAGAGAGAGAGAGAGAGAGAGAGAGAGAGAGAGAAATTAAGAGTCTTTGTGTAAGATTAAAGGAAAAATCCTTAAAAACTAAAAAAAATTAAAGAACGTCTTAATAACCGTTCATTTGTATTGTGCATAAATTTAATTGAAAATGTTTCATATATGCACGGGTGCATGACATGTAGAGATGCAGACCAGAAAAATTACTTAGAAAGTACTTGCATGTACATGTGCATACCGTATAGATAAATGGTTACTAGTGTGTTAAACAAATTTTCATTTTTTATGGTTTTCTCCTTAACTTAACACACACACACACACACACACACACACATATATATATATATATATATATATTGGCTTAATTATTTGACAGCTCTAAAATTTGTGAGTTCCATGATAATTTCTACTTTAAGGTTTTGTTTCACATGATTTTTTCTTATCTAAGTATAGTGGTTAATGTATTGATTAACATATATTTGTTTCATAATGTGTTTGTTTCATATGTATTTAGTTAACAATGCGAACTTTTTTACATGTATTTTTTGATTCACATACACATGACACCCGAAAAATTCCAGGTAAGTAAAATGTGAAGCTTTATACCTGTTTTACCTTAAGAATAGCTAAAAGTAAGTAGTAGAAAGTTTGGTGAAATTTGGGTAAGAATAGGGTCAAGAAAAGATGGATTTTTGGTCAAAAAGTCATTCCCCGAGCATGAAAGATTGGCACTGGGCGTGAAAAGGAGGCAGAAAATTCACCTAAGGCCACTTGGGTCGTTCCACGGGGGAGGTGAAAAATCCTCCCCGGTCCTGAAATCTCAACAATTGAAAGAGTAGGAAGGGTCTGGGAACCGGGGGACTTGCGCCACACGGCCTGGGGTCGCGTCGCAGAGATTGTCTCCGCCACCTGTCGACTTAAAACTCGAATTTGGTCCTTGTCTTCTTATGACTTTCTATCTACTCCTCTTCCCTTCTCTACTTTGGTTTTGCTATCTTAGGACACGATTTTGGGAACTCTATTATGATTTATGAGCATCGGTTTCACCTAGTAAACAAGGATTTTGATTTGAATCTTTTCACCATCTTCATCTTCATTATTAATGCTCACACCTACCTTCTAGCTCTTTCATTTGAACTTGACTTGAGGACTTCTTATTGCATTTATTGCTTATCTCCAAATACATATTAGCTTCCAATCATTCAGATATCAAGTTTAGAGCTAAGATTCATGTTCATCATCTTCAAGTTTGAGTTTTTACCAATTTTCTAGGTTTTTTTATATATAACCCAACAAGTGAGTTATAAATACATGCCTAAATGTGTTCTTTTATGTTATTTCAAGCTTAAATTGCAAGTATTAAATAACCATCGGTGGATTAATATTATACTCATATTTGAAGAACTTTTATGCATTTTTAAGTAAATCTTCATATTGGGGTTATGATAATGAATCTTTGTGTTTTAAATGTCTATTTGGGATATTTTATATAGAACTTGGTTCATTATCTTGGTATTTATGAAAAATCATAATTGTTGAGATTATTAACCTAAAGTGGGATTTTTGTCTATAAAAGCTAGTCTTGTGAGTTTATAATGGTATTTGAAAATTTCCAAGGCATAATGAAAGAAAGACTCTAAATATGGATTGTTGAATATTTCATTTAAATTATATATTTGGATGAAACTTTCCAAGTAAGTACTAGGAGGGTTGAGTCTTGAGGTGTTACCTTAGGGTAGACACTAAGATCACCGCCACTTGAAGTGTTATCTTTGAGGTAGATACTAAGTGTGTCGAACCTTGAAGTGTTATTCACAAGAATAGATATTGATCGGGTCCGTATTAACACACCACAGACTACAATCAGGACCAAAAGCAAGTATACAATTAGTCCCAATATCGTTTTTCAAGTAATAAAGTTGTACAAGTACCGGATATCATCTACAAGGATTGTAGTAAAAGTTTAGAAGAAAGTAATGTTAAAGAGATGATTTTAGAAGGCAAAATTGAAGACTTCAGTTTGATTCTGAGTTAACAATGATGAAATAACAGAATATAAAGGGTAGTATGGGTGTAAGACTTATGGTGAAATGCAAACACAAATTCCAGCAGACAAAACTAGTTCCACCATCTATTTTGAAGGTATTCCTCTCGGACTTCACCTTTGCACTATATTATAGCTTTCAACCCATATCTCTATGTGGTATCTGGACCAGGGATAGTGACAAATGGTCTCTTCAAAATATATGGATAAACAAATCTTTTTGTTAAAAATCACTTTCTCGAGCCGATTCCCATATCATTCAAGTTGGCATGTGTTCAAGATAGTTCATCTATGAATCTATCGCACTTTGACACTTTTAAAGTGTGACCAACCTGTCGGGAGTTGAGTTTGAAAGACATAAATGACAAGTCTCTTTGTCGGTAACTTTTTCAAATCTACCTCTCATATCATTCAAGCTGACGTGCATTCAATGGCTTATCTCTAAGACCATGACACTTTAACACTTTCAAAGTGATCAACTCGTCAAGAAATGTACTTGGTTTTTATAAAACTTGAATGAAATAGTGGAACATTGTTATTGCGAAACAACGTCCACTTTCATTCGGTTTAACATTTCACCCTTTATCTTACACCCAAGCTAACGAAATTACCTACTCATTACGGAAAATAAATGACATGAAATATAAAGAACATAAAGTAAAGACATAGATATAAATGACGGAAAGTAAATGACTGAAAGTAAATGACCGAATATAAAATATGGAAATTAAATGACAAGAAAAATAAATAAAGTAAAAACGATGTTGCAACAACTCATAACGAAGAACAATATTTAAAGAAAATTCAAGAACTAACTTGCATATGCATAAAAGCTACAGATCTGAATGTTTAGAATCTATGGGATGATTTTTGGGACCAACCAAGGGGTCCTATTTATACAAAAATCCTATGAGTAAAGACAAAAGTCTTGGAAAACAACATGTTCATAAAGAGGAGACAATATGGAAAAAGGGAACATCACATCAAGCTAAAGTAGCCACCAAAAATCTCTTTCTCCAGCTGTGAAGGTTAATAACCAAAAGATTTCCAGATTTTGTCTTCATTCTACTACAGCGGCTGAATCAATAAGCACTTCTTCAAAAAGCCGGTTCAGAACAGATTAATGCTGCTGGAATGCTGCAGCATAAAGCACAATACTTCCAAGTTAAAATAACATCTACCCCAAATGTTGTAAAGACAAGTTAACCACCAAATTTAGCTCCAAATAAAACAAATGGAAAATAAAGAAATAAAAATGACTCAAGGTTGGGATAATAGAGAATAATCTACCTACTAAGCAAAGAAATGGGTACTTTAAGCATGTAATAATCTATGCTTATCATACCCCCAAACTTAAAGTGTTGCTTGTCCCCAAGCAACCAAAAGAGAACTAAAAATGACTCAATAAAACAAAGATACAAGATTATAGCATTAAGTGCACACATATTGCAAAGCATACCATTATGAACATCATAGCCCTTCATAAATCCTTAGCAAACCATTCATAACCTAACTCTTATGTATGAACCATATGCTAGCACTTATCCTTTCTTTGTTAAACTCAACACACCTTATATTTAGGGTCAATAGGACTTATATGGGTTTACTCTCTTTGGCTTTTTCTTCTCTCATATTACCTTTTTCTTATGCTTCATCATTTATTTTTTTGAATTTTTGGCACTTTTTGCTATTTTTGATGAAAGCATGCACATTGCCCCTATGGGATATTTTTTTTTTTTTGCTTTAAACAAGTCCAACTAAGGCATCTTTTTAGAGCTTTGCTCTTTTGTATTGATGAATTGGCCTTAGTGGAACACCCTCCCCCAAACTTGAAATGTTGACAATGCCCTCATTGGCTATATGGGGTGTGTAGTGTATAAAGGGTACAAGTGGCTATTTGTGAGTTTGTGAAGAAAGGCCTATATCAGGCCCCTTATATTATTGGGGTGTGAGTCAATTTGTGTCCCAAAAAGAATTATGCTAGTTTTAGCAAGAACATATCTACTAAGTGAATGACTAACAACCTCAGAATTATTCAGGCTATGAAATCAAAGGCAACTATCAATGAACATGTAATCTTGTAAAGAAAATAAATCTAAAAAATGTAAAATTATCCCAGACTCAAAAATTAAAAAATATTTGGAGACTATAGAAAAATGATTGAACCTGCCCTACTCCAAAAAAGTAGGCTTTGAAGCCTGAGCTGCCATCTCCTTCTTCAACTTCTCATTCTCTTCAAACAGACTCTTATTATCTATCTTGATGGCCTTCAGAATGTTTTCACGAAAGTTGATGTTCTCACCTGTTATGAGACTAAACAAAAGCACCAACCTTTCTACAAAAATGGAGCTGTTATGATTAGTCGATGATAAATAATGTCTAATAAAGCTTATTCAAACATTCTTATTAGAGGACAAATTGGCAGCCTTAAAGGTTTTCAACATGAAATGAATATAAGGCTCCCAATCAGTCTCAGGCATTCCAAGGGATGTCATGATCTTAACCAAATATGCCTCAGAGGCCGTGTGCAAGAGTGCATCATTCTCAAAATCTATGTGAGGTGAGAGACAAAATAATTTATTTACGGCTTTGTCAAAAGTAGACACCTTTCTTTGTGGCTCTATGGATGTGAAGTTATTGTCATCTGGGATGATTTTATGTTGACAAAAAGAAGGACTAATCCCCTTTTGGTTGTCAATGATCAATCCCATAGCTTATGTGTGCAACTTCAACATATCAACCAACTTTTTTCCTTGATGCAATTATAGGGTAGATGATATGTTGACAGGCAATTTGCCTTCTTCTCCTAAATAAACATACTTAAAATGGGATGAGAGTTGTTTCAACTCTAAGGGTGGTGATACAATGGATGGGGTGAAGTCTTTCTGCTCACCATTTTTCCAGTAGCTCAAATGTTGCAGCATCTTCTGGGACAATATTATTTCCTATTGCCTCTATTTCCTCAACATTCTCTTCTTCTATTTCCTCATCACACTCTTCTTTCAACTTAAGGTTTTCCTGAATTCCTTCTTCATGGCACATCTCATCTATTTCAGCTATTCTTAAACACTCCTCCAAGTAATCAAGGCACTTTAAAGAGTTAAAAACATTAAATGTGACTTTTTGGTCCTGAAGTCTCATGGTCAACTCTCCTTTCTGGACATCTATCAGAGTTCTTCTGGTGGCTGGAAATGGTCTCCCTAATATAATAGGAATGTCCTTATCTGCCTCAAAGTCTAGTATGATAAAATCTGCCGAAAATATGAATTTATCAACTTGCACTAACACATCCTCAATCTTTCCCTTAGGGTATGCAATGGATTTGTTTGCCAATTGGAATGTAACCATGGTAGGTCTAGCCTTTCCTCTGCCTAAGGTGTTAAAAATAGATAAAAGCATGAGGTTGATACTTGCACCTAAGTCACACAAAGCTTTCCTAATCTCTTTCCCACCTATAAAACAAGGAATAGTGAAACTTCTCGGGTCTTTAAGCTTAGGAGGTATCTTGTTGGTCAGAAGTGCACTATATTCTTCAGTAAGAGCTACGGTTTCATACTCGGTCAGCTTCTTCTTCTTACTTAAGATGTCGTTGAGGAACTTAGCATAACTAGGCATTTGCTCGATTGCCTCAACAAGTGGTATGTTGATGTGCAATTCTTTGAACACATCAAAGAATTTTTTAAAATGCAATTCCTTTTTCTGATTCCTCAACCTTTGGGGGTAAGAAACATAAGGAGGAACTGGTTTTTATCACATTCTTGCTTGAATGTGTTGAGCAAGATGGGTCTTGAATGCCTTGAGTCTTTGTGGTACACTTTGAGGGTTCAGATGGAGTCTTAGTATTAAGCTTAGGGGTATCTAAAACCTCAGTCCCTTCTGATTTTTTTAAACATCCTCTGGAAACAGTAAGGGATAGTCTGATCTTGGGGGAATAGAAGTGGTGGTCTCAGCTGCTTGCTTATCTAAAAGTTGGACTGGTCTTTCTTTGGCAGGGACCAATGCTGTAGCATCAGTTTTTGACAAACTTGGTGCACTAGCTTTTTGCACCTTTTCAGTCAACTCCTTCTTACTCCTAAGGGTCACTGCTTTTACATGTTCCTTTCCTAAGGCTCTCGGGACTTCTGTGTTACTAGGTAAAGTACCAAAGACTCTATTGGTCTGATTGAGTGCAAGTTGACTGACTTGGGTTTCAAGATTTCTGATAGCAACACTTTGCTGATTAAAAAGAGATTGATTCTAAGAGTTTTGCTGTGTTATCAAAGCTTGATTTTGAGCTTGAGCTTGTGCAAATAACCCTTTTATCATTGTTTCCGAAGAAGATGATAAATCAGCCTGTGGAGGTGGCTTGTTTTGAAAAGATGGTTGAGCAGTTTGAAAATTTTGGTGATGATTTTGGGAACTACTCGCATGTTATTGGGGTTGAAAATTAGAGGTTCCTTGCTGCTTAGGTGCGGGTGGATTTAAACATGGACTGTTCCAAGAAAAATTTCGGTGTTGTTTCCAACTTGCATTGTAATTGTTGGTATAGGGACCCGATCCATTATGAACAAAGTTTATGGATTCAGAATTATGAGAACAATTTTCATACGAGTGTTCCCCACCACAACAAACACATTGCATTGAGAGGACTTTTGGAATAAGTGTAGTAACAGCGGGCTGCACTCCTTGGCCAGAAGTAAGGTTTTTAAGCATGGTGGCTGATGTGCTAGAATCGTAAGTGTGCACACAGTGGGCATAAAATCCCCAAAGTGGCGGTGCAAGTGCACGCCGACACTAAGATCGCTTCAAGTAATAAAGTGGTATAATAACAAGATCGTTTCCACAGGGACCGGACTTACTGAGAATCAGAGACTTTCATGAACTTCTTGAACAATGTTTCGGGTTGAGAAAATATTTGAGTTTTGATTGGTGCAAAGCATTAAAATATGAAATAAACCTTTAATATTAAAAGATGGGTAT